AACCCTGAGATCAAGAGTTGCATGCTCTTCCAACAGAGCCAGCTAGGTGCCCCTAAATTATTTTAAGTTGCCATGGAAAAAACAGGCTATATAAACTCAGTTGCAAGTATAGGAAGTAATAGGTTGAATTGTCCCCCCAAAAGATATGTTGTAGTCCTAACCCTCAGTATCTCAGAATGTGACCTTATTTGGAAATACGGTAGTTGCAGATATAATTAGTTAAGATGAGCTCATACAGGCCTAGAGTGGATCCTTAATCTAATATGACTGGTATATTTATGAGAAGAGACACAGACACACAGAGAGATGACCGCCGTGTAATGATAGAGGCAGAGATTGATCAGAGTGATGCATCCGCAAGCCAAGGATTACCAACAAACTCAGAAGCTAGGAAAGGCAAGGAAGGATTCTCCCCTACAGGTTTCAGAGCGGGTGTGGCCCAGCTGACACCTTGATTTCAGACTTGGAGTGCCCCAAACTGAGAATGTATTTCTGTTGTCCTAAGCCATCCAAATTTGTACAGATTATACCCTAAGAATTTAGTGTTAAGAAAAATAAAGCTGTGAGGCGCCTGGATGGTTCGGTCAGTTAAGCGTCCCACTCTTAATTTCAGCTCAGGTCATGATCTCAGGGTCCTGGGATCCAGCCTTGCTACGGGCTCCCTGCTCAGCGGGGGTTCTGTTGCTCCCTCTCCCTCTGCTCCTCTCCCCGCTTGTGTCCTCTCTCTCTCTCAAATAAATAAATAAAATCTTAAAAAAGAAAGAAAAAAAAGCTTTTTCTAACTTTTGGTGGAGCCCAGGAAATCACTCAGTCTTTGAAAATTGCTTTTAATTTATAGCACTGAAGCCTTGAGTAAGTATGATTAATATTGCCAATAGAGGACCCTTACAATATGTTTTCAAGACTAATATATTCTTTGTCAGCAATCACAATTAGGTGGGAGTCCATCTTAGGTAAGCCAAATTGTCCCTGACCCTTGATTCTTGTTTTCCCAACCAGACCAAGAAAAATGTCAAGGATGTGCTCAAGGGCAGTATTATAAACAACGTGACCAACAGCTGGGAAATTATTGTCTGAGCTTCTCAGTCTTCTATAGCAAAGACCTATGCTAAAATTCTCTTGCGTTTGGGAGAAACAGCTTGTGACAGAGTGAATTTGACAACTCATGGACATGTCTTCTCATGTCCTCATGGGAAGTGTTTCATCAAGATGTGAAGAGTTGGCCATCAAAATGGAAAGCCACATATTCTACAGAAGCAGTAGAGTGGGTAGAAAATGCCCTCTGATCCAAGAGGCCTTGAGCTTGGGGCACCTGGCTGGCTCAGTCGGTGGAGCATGAGGCTCTTGATTTCAGGGTTGTGAGTTGGAGCCCCATGCTGGGCACAGAGCTTATGTGAAAAAAAAAAAGAAAAAAGAAATGAGAGGCATCAAGCTTTTAACTAAGATGAATAGGACCTGGAGAGTGGCACTATTTAACTCACGGTTCTTACCTCTCCCAGTTGGTATGGCAACATCCAACCTAGAGGACATGATAGGCTCCCCACTAGATCATACCATCTGACAAGAGAGTGAAACACAATGGATCCCGGCACATGTGTGTTGAAAGGCTGCAGAATATGGTAAAAGGAGCCTTGAGCTCCAGCTTGGGCTGGAAGTCAGAATCTAGCACTGCCTCCTCCAACTAGAGGAGCACATTTCATACCTAATGTGCTTTAGAGCTCACACCCAACTCTATAAATAAAGGAATTGTCCACATTTTATTCAGACCAGTAAAATAGACCAGGTATCTGGCTCCCAAACTCATACTTTTTTTTTTTTAGATTATTTATTTATTTATTTATTTGAGAGACAGAGCACAAACAGGGAGAGCAGCAGAGGGAGAGGGAGAAGCAGGCTCCCCGCTGAGCAAGGAGCCAATTCAGGGCTGGATCCCAGGACCCTGGGATCATGACCTGAGGCAAAGGCAGAATCCTAACCGACTGAGCCACCCAGGCACCCCCCAAACTCATACTCTTTTTTTTTAAAGATTTTATTTATTTATTTAACAGAGAGCACAAGCAGGGGAAGCGGCAGGCAGAGTTGAGAAGCAGCAGGCAGAGGGAGAAGCAGGCTCCAGGGAGCCCAATGTGGGGCTTGATCCCAAAACTCTGGGATCATGACCCCAGCTGAAGGCAGACGCTTAACCAACTGAGTCACCCAGGCGTCCCAACCAAACTCATATTCTTTTTTTCTTTTTTTAAGATTTTGTCAGAGAGAGAGCACAAGTAGGGTGAGCAGCAGGCAGAGAGAGAAACAGGCTCCCTGCTGGGCAGGGAGCCCTATGCAGGGCTGGATCCTAGGACCCTGGGATCATGAGCTGAGCTGGAGGCAGACGCTTAACGACTGAGCCACCCAGGCGTCTCCCAACCAAACTGATATTCTTAACTATAGTACTATACTACCTCAGTTTTTCTCATATGTGATATAGGGATAATTAGCATTATCCAATATCCCTTGGGATGTTAAGAGGATAAAGTACGAAAATAGATCAGACAATACTTTGGGAAAAGCTTTTAAAGGCCTATACATGTGTGTTATTCTTGCATCATATAAACCAATCAGTTTGCATTGTTAAAACTAGTTTGGTTTTAACCAAAGGCCTTAGATCACATTTATTATTAATACCTGATCAGAGATTTCTTTTGATCATTGGCCCCATTGATGGTGGGCTTGGTAGCTACCTCTGAGAAATGATGTTGGTTCCATGTCTCATCTACCTGCAACTATTAACATCTGTGTGATAGAAATTTCATCTCATTCATTGGAGATTGCCTTGGAACAGTGCCTAACATAATAGATACTCGCTAAATATTTGTGAAGTAAATTAGAACTAATCTCCAGCATCTAGCATGGTCCCTAGCATCTTGTAAGCCTTTTGACAGATACTTAACAGTTTAACTGACTGAGATTGGGTAGCTACTATGAAACCTGGAGGTGATCTGGAAGAACTCAGACTATATCCAGAACGAGAATAGAACTGGATTCTGAAAAGGAGCCTAGAACAGTGTCCTAAGAGCCACCATCATTTACAAATATTTACTTCCCTATTTAGGGGAGCTTCTAACACATTGAATAACAGTATAATGCATGCATTAATTCATATAAATGCATTTACCGCCTTTGACTACTTCTTCTCCCTGCCAAGTAAAAATTCATCCCCAAGTACACCAGTGAACAAATGAGACATAGTGGAAGGCAGATTTGGTTTGATTTGTCCGTTGGTCCTAGCTGCTAGCAGTTCATTAAACATTCTACACCCCAGGGAGATAGCTAATCTCTAGTTGCCAGAGGATGTATACTTGATGCTGGTCAAGGTAGTAACTGCACTAACCTGCATTTTGCTACTTTCAGGAGTACCAACCTCTTGGTGGAGACCTAGCCCCTTCTTGCAGTGCTTGGAAATCTAAATTTGATTGCTCATTAACTACAGATTACCTACTGCTCTTATTCAAGTGTTTAATCACGAGGGATAGCTAGCTACTCTGAATATCAAAAAACCAGTTGTGGGGTGCCTGGGTGGCTCAGTCAGTTAAGCGTCTGCCTTTGGCCCAGGTCATGATTCCAGGGTCCTGGGATCGAGCCCCACATCAGGCTCCCTGCTCAGCAAGGAGCCCTGCTACTCCCTCTCCCTCTGCCTCTCCCCCTACTTGTGCTCTCTCTCTGTGTCAAATAAATAAATAAAATCTAAAAAAAAAAAAAACAAACCAGTTGTCTTTGGGAGGGAAAAGCAGACTCCCCGCTAAGCAGAGGGCTCCATGTGGGGCTTGATTCCAGGACCCTGAGACCATGACCTGAGTCAAAGGCAGACACTTAACGGACTGAGCCACCCAGGTGCCCCTCAAAAAACGAGTTCTGACCATTGACTTTGTATTCTTCAAGTGAGAGTATGTTAAATATTACTAGAATTGGGCGCAGAAGTAGAATCTCTGAGCAGTGTTTATTCACATAACAAATGTGTGAATGTGCCTGTAACATGCCAAGAGAACTTGAAACTAGAAGAACTATGATCATGTTCTTTATTTTTTAATTCATGACCATCAGTCCCTGGACATTCCTCCCTACCACCAAGCCATTTGCTAAAGGTAATAATTACTGTCTTCCTCAGAGGGTTGAAATGAGAATCAAAGGAGATAATATATGTGCAAGTGCTTTATAAACTATCAAGTGCCAAACACATATGAGGGATTATAATAGGAGGAAACGTGCCTTCCAAAATCAATCATTTAGAAAATGCTATAAGTTATTGGTTTCCGTATTCAAATTATGACAAATTCTTGTAGCCACAATGAAGCGAGAAATTGAAATCTGGGGGAAGAAACTAATAATTCAGCATTTTTAGTTCATGTGGAAATACTAATTCCACAACCCATACAGGAATATGCAGCATTTTAGGAGTTTATATTTAAAGTTTTTGTAACAGTGAATTGCCAAGAGATTCAACTATTCCTGGGGATTTTCTTATGATTCTGAACATCACCCAGTGCTCTGCTCCTCTCCTCATTCCACCTCCAGGAAACTTCCAGCTATCCTTTCCACTCTTAGGAAAACTAACGGGGAGTGTGACTTAAAATGGGTTCAGATTGCATCGGCATGATAAACCATGTCTATCTTATTCACGATGCGAATCCCTAAACATTTCCAGCCTATTCGGTGGAGTTCAACACAGTGGAACAGTACGAGGCAGGCAGGTGATGGTGATTTCTCGGTTCCCGATCCCTTTTCGGAGAAGGCGCCATCAGCTAGCTTCTCGGATCCCGGAGAAAGCAACGAAGTCTGGAGATTGGGTTGGGGGAGGAAGAAGCGGGCGACCAACCCCTCCCCACCTCCCGGGTACACACGGGCGGGGCTGGTCGGGGGTCGGCGCTCCGCCCCGGGGCGGGGCTCGCGGCGGCTCCCTGCGTCCCGCAGCGCGCCCTGGGCTGCGGAGCTGGCTGCGCGGCGGGCGGCGGGCAGTGGGCGCGATGTATCTCCGCAGGGCGGTCTCCAAGACGCTGGCACTGCCTCTGAGGGCGCCCTTCGGCCCCGCGCCGCTCCGGAAGGACGGTGAGTGCCGCGCCGGCCCGGGCGTCCAAGCCTGAAGAGGACAGGCGCCAGCGCGCGGATTTGCCGGCGCCCCGGTACCCGCCGGCACCTTGGGGGCCAAACCCGGCCGGAGCTGCAGAAGCCTGGGATTGAGGATAGGGGGAGAAATGAAGGAAAGTCGCGGGGAAGACGCCCCGAAGTTCTTGAAGACTTAGGAAGTAGGGAACTTTTCCAGCGCGGCTTCGGAATCCGGCCTAGGCTTCCTGGGTTCGAATCTTGATCTTGGGCAAGTGATTTCACCTGCTTCCTCATCTCTAAAATGGGGACAGTAATGGTTGTGAGTTTTAAATGAGTTAATATGCAGTTAAAAGCGCTTAGAAAAGTGCCTGGCTAACGCCCGCGTAGCTTAAACTCCTTCTATTAGTAGAGGTACCTGTGCGCTCTCCAACTTCGCGAGGAAGCAGAGGAACGAGTGGCACGATGGAGCTAGGCAGGGTGCGGGAGGGAGTGCGGGCCCAGTAAATGTTGGGTAAATACCCCTGAGTAAATAAACTCAAGGCTTGTCCGGGGCTCGGCAGCCGGAGCTCCGTGCGCCTTCGAAGCACTTTACCTGGGTCTGCGCAGAAACCTGGAGCTATCCTAAGCTGTTCGGCTCAGCCGTCCCAGTATCTGTCACCTTTAGATTTGGGGGTGCAGGGGAAGAAGTATTGTATTCAGAAATTTCCTAAAGGGGAAGTTGCAGTGCAAGCTGGAAGCTTCTTAACTAAAACTGGAGAAACGGGAAAGCGCCCACTCTAGCGCCTGGAACATTGTCGGGGCTTAATAAGTGTGAGCATGCGTGTTTTTCCTCCCTGCGGCCGGCGGCCCCCGGGCCGGCTTTGCGCTCCCGCGCAGTTCGGCCGCAGCCGCTCCTTCCTACACCTCCTCCGTCTCCCCTGTCTTTTCGGTCCCGCTTAGCCCAGCGGCTCTTAGACAACCTCTTGCGAAGTTCTTAGTTCTCCCTGCACTTCGCCTCACTTTCTAAGGCTTGTGAGGTAGTTTAGCCCAGAGCGTGCATTCAAGCCGAGAGAGACACTCTCCTGCGGAAAAGTCCGTGGGCCATTTTTTTTTTCCACTTTGATTAGGCCTGTGGTGGTGATGGTGGTGGTGGGAGGGAAGGAAGGTCTGTCCAGCTAGCTTTGTTTTTCTCTTAAAATGCTGGTAGGAAGTAGTTGCCTCACAAGTAACAGAATAAGGCATTTTTTCGTTTTCCTTGATCTTTATACTGAGTAAGAGCAGTTTTTTTCACTGACGAAATAGAAGCCATTAATTTTAAACGTCTGAAGATAACGAGGCCGTTGTGATTGGGGGTGGGGAGGGGAGAAAGATGAGCCCCCTGACCGTGGCCTTCTGCGTTATCGCCCGCAGGCCCCACGGTCTTCAGGCACGAACACACACCCCTTTTGTAGCGACGCGTTTCAGATAATTTCTTCACCAACTTGGGCTAAGGGAAGAGTAGGTTAAAAATTCTAAATCGGCAGTTAGCAATACTGGCTGTAGCAACAATTTTCATCTAATTACTTTTTTCATAGCACTGATTCGTTTATGTATTTTAAGAACTATTATTGACTGGGAATCTGGTTTCGGTCATGGACATTAATTGACCTTTTTTATTGGTACTTTCTGTTTTGATGAAAAATAAAACTTTCAGTTTTATTGAAGGGTAAAATTTTAGCTGCGCCTCATCAAATTGTCTTCTCTGGCTTTTGCTTTTAAAAATGTAACTTTTTGATGAGTAATTGGGTTTGTAATAGATCATTGGAAGGAACGCAGAAAGACAAAATAGAAGTCTCCTGTAATCCTACCACTCAGGGAATACCCCCATTTACGTTTTAGTCTATATAATGTTCCAGACCTTTTTTTCCTCTTGCATTTTATTCTTACGCACATTGCTTCCACAAACTGAGATAGTTCTGTATAGATTATTCTATAACTTTGCATTTAGTATATTGTAAATATTTTCTCACGTAAGTAATATTCTCCTGCAAAACTTCTATTTCACGTTGTATGGATATGCTCAAATTTAACTAATTAATCTTTATTAAATATTTCCCATTTCATTGCTCTTTTAAATAACTGCATAATTGTATTTGTGTTTAAGTCTTACATCTCTGATGATTTTCTTTATTCCTTCCTATTTAAAATAATCTTTTTGATATTTATGTCTGGTTGACAACTACAGAAGCTACATATTCCCTGTTTAGTAACAGATGTATTTTCAAACCAACAAAAGCCCCACTACAGGTCAAAGCCATACCCTCTTACCATAGCCTCTTTGGGTACATTTGTGGGGAAAAAATATTTTTTTCCAAGAGATGGTCATTTATATCCAAACTAAAAACACATACAGGAAATCTTCCCAGTATTGCTACTACAAAGATTTGTAATCAGTGCAAATGTCTTAAGATTTGCCCTCTGCAAATCAAAACTTCTTAGTCTTTGCATCCATCCTCTGTGTCAGGCCACATCCAATTACTTGGCACTTTTCCAGCTCTTCTGCTCTTGCACATGCTGTGCCTTCTGCCTCCGGTTCAGTTTTCTCTCCCCCTTATTTATCTGACAGTCTCCTCTACTTTCCTTCAAAACCCAGGTCATGTCTCTCCAGTTGTGACAGGTCCCTTGAGCCAACTAGCTGAGGTTTTTCACTGAATTTTCTTGCTGTTGTTGCAACTTCTACTTGCTTCTGTTCCAGCATTTGTCACACTGCATTGCAGTTATTTGTCTACAATTATTTGTCTGTACCTTTGTTCCCTCCTTCTACACGGTGAGCTACTTGAGGCTAGGGACCTTGTATGTCTTGTTCACAGTTGTATCCTTAATGATTCTAACAAGGCCAAACACAGAGTAGGTGCTCAACATTTATTTATTCATTCAACAAATGTCTCTACTTTTTCTCTTTAAAGAATTTGAGCTATGTGAACTTTAAGCTCTTTCTAGCTGTGAGTCTATTATAAAAATTTCAATTCCAGGGCATATGGTTTTATATATTTAGATGTAATAATACAGTACACTTACCTATTTCTATTAGTTTGTACAGAATTGTACTTCCATTTCAAACATGACCATGTTGTAATATTTTGTCTTAAACAAGCTTGTATCTGCCCATCTTTAAAGGCTTTTGTTAGAAAAATTAAGTTTCTGCCTACATAGACATTTGTATTACAGATTTATAGAAATGTGTCGGATTTCAGCATGTTTTATTTAACATGTAAGTTTTAAGTACAAATATATTTAATTCAATTTTTGGAAAAATAATCTTTTCCCCTGAATCCTGTGGTGGAGTACATACAGCAAATGGATTTCTTTTGTATCTCGTTTGACTGTCAAAATTGTTCAGTGCTTTTGTCATTTCTCCTTACCCACGCCCGCACTCTTTCCAAGAAAAGCATGATGCTAACTAAGCACGAAGGTGACAGGTTTCATAAGTACTTATCAAATGAGATTGGGAAAATGTCAAATGGAATTATTATCCTACCTTGTGATACTCTATTCCCTTAAGCTAAAATCATTTGATGTTAATAGATTCTAAGTTCACCGAAGGGGAAAATTTTTTTAAGATATAATTATTTTAAATAGTTTTGCTTAATATCATGAAACTGTGTTTCAACTTGTTTTCCTAGCATCTCTTCGCTGGATGTCGTCTAACAAATTGCCTGGATCATCTGGATCAAATATGATCTATTATCTGGTTGTAGGTGTCACAGTCAGTGCTGGTGGATATTATGTAAGTGTTTAAGTAACCATAATGTTTAGGAATTCATATATTTTACAACCTATGGTAAAACTCAAAGCATTGTCAAGGTCAGGACATGGGATTAATTAAATATACAAGATTATGAAGATTTTTTTCGGTGTGAAATTAACATTTCTTACACAACATACACTGCCAAGGACGGGTGACTTCTAGTAAAAATGATGTCATTAGGGGCGCGTGGGTGGCTCAGTTGGTTTAGTGACTGCCTTGGGCTCAGGTCATGATCCTGCAGTCCCTGGAGTTCCCTGTTCAGTGGGGAGTCTGCTTCTCCCCCTGACCCTCCCCCTTCTTGTGCGCTCGCTCGCTCTCTCTCATTCTCTCTCTCAAATAAAATCTTTTTAAAAAATGATGTTATAAATACTAATAATAGTTGACATTCGAGTGTTTCTCATATAACAGACTCACGGCTCATTTAATAATTACAGTAATTCTATAAGTAGGTACTATTACTAACATTTAACAAGAACTGTTTTGAAAGATTAACTTAAATTAATAGACTGTTTATTTTTTAAAGATGCAATTTATTTATTTGACAGAGAGAGACACAGCCAGAGAGGGAACACAGGCAGGGGGAGTGGGAGAGGGAGAAGCAGGCTTCCTACTGAGCAGGGAGCCCGATGCGGAACTCGATCCTAGGACTCTGGGATCATGACCTGAGCCGAAGGCAGACGCTTAACTGACTGAGCAACCATGCGCCCAATAGGCTATGTTTTTGGAGCATTTTAGGTTTACAGAAAAATCTGCAGAAAGTACAGAGTTCTCATACCTCCTCTCAACACTCCCTCCATCAACAGTCTCACATTAGTGTGGCACATTTGTTACAACTGGTGAGTCAATATCAATACATTATAACTAACTAAAGTCCATAGTGTACATTAGGGCTCACTCTCAGTGTTGTACATTTTATAGGTTTGGACAAATATATAATGATATATCCATTATAGTAACAAACAGAATAGTTTCAGTGCCCTAAAAATTCCCTGTGTTCCACCTAGTCATTCTTTCCTCCCTGAATCTTTTTACTGTCTCCATAGTTTTTATTAGTTTTATATATCTTTATATACCTTCATTATTTTAAAAAGGTAACATATTTTTTTTAAAAATTCAAAATAGACATATGCAAAATTAAAAGAATGTTTTACCCACTCCTCCCAGGTAATCACTATAAAATGAAGCTTTTGATATTATGATTTTGGAGCTAAAATGATAAGATATTTTTGCATTAAATAAGTAATAATAAGGCTATCGAATCATTCCCCATTTTTTTAAAGATTTTATTTATTTTTTATTAGAGAGTGAGCGAGAGAGAAACAGCACGAGAGGGGAGAGGGTCAGAGGGAGAAGCAGGCTCCTCGCTGAGCCAGGAGCCTGATGCAGGACTCGATCCTAGGACTTGGGATCATGACCTGAGCCGAAGGCAGTCGCCCAACCAACTGGGCCCCCCAGGCGCCCCGAATCATTCCCCATTTTGTCATAAACTTTCTTTCTTTTTTTTTTTTTTTTAAAGATTTTATTATTTATTTGACACAGAGAGAGAGATAGTGAGAGAGAGAGAGCACAAGCAGGGGGAGCAGCAGGCAGAGGGAGAGGGAGAAGCAGGCTCCTGGCTGCGCAGGGAGCCCGATGTGGGGCTCGATCCCAGGACCCTGGGATCACGACCCAAGCCGAAGGCAGCCGCTTAACCGACTGAGCCACCCAGGCGCCCCTTGTCATAAACTTTCTAAATCAAAATTTAATCTTCAGTGTGAATAAAAGTAAAATAAATATAAATTCTTTGGAAACCCTAAGAGTACACAAGAGTCACTACATTTTGGTTTGACCCTACAGAAATAGGCATAAAGGGACTTTTAGGCATAACTAGGAGCAGTTTGTATGTAGACGGTCAAACCAAAATAACTTATTCTAATCTTCAGAATTTTGAGAGCTTCAAGAAATCAGGAAACTTCAAATATGTCACTTATATTATTGTCCTCCACTGATCTATCAGCTTTTACTCATACCCAGATTCCTTTCCTTCTACCATCTTTCTACTGCTTAATGTTGAATTCACTGCCCAGGGCTACTATTGTTGGATATAGGCCATTGGAGAAACAAGAGATTGGGCTGGGCCATGTGATTATGTGGGGAGCTGGAAGATGGAATTTCATCTGGAACTCACTATACCCATAATTATGTTTATTAGTGCCAGACATGAACCTCTCCAGCCCGCTAAATCTTTCTTTGCAAAAGCAATCGTAAACTGGATGGTTATAAACTGGCTTCTCATTCGAGCCCTTTCTGGCCTTTTTCTCTCACAATGGGAGTGGAAGTTGGACAAGGCAATGAGCTCCAAGTCCCTTCCCACCTCTAAGAATATGTGGTTTTACTCTTGAATGTTGGAAGCCTTAATTCCCAAGAATCTTAGGCTCTTGTCAGGAGGAAATACAGAATGTGAGGCACTTGAAAACCTGTATTCTAGTCTTCCCTCCCCTTCTCCCATACTTTTAAATAAGTTCTCTACTAGATTTATCTGAATTGAATCCACAGATGCTCACTAGCCAGTTTTTCATTTCCAAGTAAAATCTACTACGAGGGCCTCGTAGAATCTGAGAGAGGCCCAGGTCACGTCAATTTTTTGAGGGTCTGAGGTATTTGTGGGATATTTTAAACGCTTACATGTAATAAGTAATATCATTCAGAAATAACTTCCAAAGTCTAGATTCGAGGCTTTCCAAAGGCCTCTTCTGACAGGTCTTTTTTCTACTGTGTTTGACCTCATTAGATTTGGAAAAGCTAGATTCTCTCGGCCACACATGAGTATGAATTATTCTAATATCATCATCTCTTCAATCCTACCTAAACTAGTCTTTCTTCCCACCTTGTGTTTTAGCCCCTTGAACAAAAAAAAAGTAATGTTCCTTGGGATGTCACTGCTGGGATGGCCATTTCAGGAATGTGAACCTCTGCACAGGCTCAGCTTTCGTGTACTGAGAGTGGAGGGTGTCGACCCAGCATAGTGGTTTAAGCTATCAGGAGTTCCCACCGTACTAGGAAAGTAGTCCCTGCTCTTATTCAGAAATGGTAACTGTCATTCCTGCTGATCCTGTTTGTTCTGCAAGTTTCAAACCCAGATGATTCAAGTCTGAATTCACCAAACTGCGGGATTTGTTAGGGCCACTTCAGTATCCTCTCCACCCCTGAGGTTATAGATTTTCCGTGTTCACAGTCTAATTTTAACATGCTATAAAATGGTTTGTAATTTGCAAAGTATAATTTTTAATAAGATGCTTGGTTTTGATAATTAAAAATTTAGAGAATACTATATATAAATACACAAATTTTAAAAATCTGTAATCCTGTTACTAAGTGATAAATCCCTAACAACATTTTTTTAAGCTGAGATAATATAAACAGTATTATCTAACTAGGGAGATTTTCATTTTTAAAAGATCATTGGCTAAAATGAACACAGGCCAGAGATGAGTACTTGAATATGAAATGAAAGGAAGCCTGCACATCAGATCTGTGATTGAGATAGCTTTATTCCTGATTTCTGTTTCTGAAATAAACGATGGTCAGATCACAGTGCTGCTTTTAAGGAATAACTCTAGCTTACATAAGGAATCTTCTTTAGGGTCTACAAATATGCCATTTTGAAAGATTTTTTTCCAAACTTTTTATTATGAGATGACTGAGTTTCACATGCAGTTATAAGAGCTAATACAGAGAGATCTCATATAGTCTTCACCTCATTTCCTCCAGTGATTAACATCTTTTATAGGGATAATCCAGTATCACAACCAGGAAACGGACATTGATAAAATCCATTGTCCTTATTCAGATTTCACCACATTTACTTGCACTTTTGTGTGTGTGTGTGTATTTAGTTCTGGGCAGTTCTGTCATGTGTAGATTCATGTATTCACCACCACTGTCAAGATACAGGATCCCTTGTGTAGCCCTTTATAATTGCACCCAGTCTCTTTTGCCACTCTCCTCACTTCTTCCCAGCCCTGGCAACCAGGAATCTGTTCTCTAGTTCTATAACTTTCCATTTCAAGAATGTTACATAAATGGAATTATAAGGTATATAATATTTTGAGACTGGCTTTTTTCACCCAGCATAATTAAGTGGAGATTCATCCAAATTGTTATACCTGTATTGATAGTTTGTTCCTTTTTAATCCTGAGTAGCATTCTATGTTATGGATTTACCACAGTTTGCTTAACCATTCACCTGTTGTAAGACCCCCAGCCTGATTCCAGCTTTTGGCTATTACAAATAAAGCAACCATGAACATTTGTGTACAGGATTTTGTGTGCACATAAGTTCCCATTTCCCTGGGATGAATGCCAGAGGATATCTGCAAATGCCTGTCAGAATATTTTGATTCTAGCATAATTTGTTTTTCTTCTTTGTCTTCATCTTTGTGTCTACTGTGTGTTTTCTGTTATCTTTGACTCCTGTTAGAGCATTTGTTTCTTTTCTTTTTAAAGTGTTCCACTTAATAGCAAAAGTTTCCAAAGGGGAAACAAAAGAGTGGGTGGGGTACATTGGTTTCTCTTCTTTGAATTGTATGTACCTTTGAACTTGGCATGATGAATTTTAGAGCTCAAGAAATAAACTTAAGCACACATTTACTTTCAGACTTACAAGACAGTCACATCAGAGCAAGCCAAACACACGGAACATATAACAAATTTGAAAGAAAAAACCAAAACAGAGTTACATCCACTTCAAGGTAAAGTGAATTTACTATTTTTTTCTCTTAAGGCATCGATTTCCATGATCTTAGTCTAGCAATGAGCACTATTTGCTTTTGGCTTCTTTACTAACTTGACAGAATGGCTCTGGGCAGGAGTTCATTCAGAAAGGGAAAGCCCAAGCAAAACCTAAAGAATATTGTTATATGTTTTGGATGAGTGCATTAGATAAATGAAACGTTTTACATTTGTACTGCTGACCAGTGGCTTTGAATTCTTTGTGTGGTAATATTACTTTTCCCCTACTCAGGCTTCCATTCAGGCAAGCATAATTTTAGTATCTGTCTCTCAGCAGCTTCACCTCTCATTTCCCTCATTATTTTTTTTTAAATCATAAAACTAATTTTTGTTTCAGTTTTGGCTAAGATCACCAGTGTGTCTTTGGCCAAAGTACACTTGACATTAGTACAATCAGTCATGTCTATTAAGTCCCTCAGTTGATCTGATTGATAAAATGGCAACTACTAGAACAGAAACTTTACATTTTCACCCTAATACGTATTTCTTGCCTTGAACTGCTTGCTTTAAATACTTTTTTCCATCTCAATTATAATGCCATTATTATCAATTACTATGATCACTATTTAGGGACAGATAATAGCTACTTATGAACCAATTTTAACCTTTTAGTCATGACAACAGTAAGAAATGGAATATCTTCAATAAATATTACTGAATATAATCATGAGAAGGCTGACTGTAATAATAATGAAATACAGCATTTCCATTATATATATATATATATATTTACACACACGCAGACACACACACACAGAGGGAGAAAGAGAAAGAGAGGGGAGAGCAGAGGGAGAGAGAGAATCCCAAGTGGATTCCCCACTAAGCCTGGAGCTCGCTGAGGGGCTCTATCTCACAACCCTGAGATCATGACCTGAGCCGAAATCAAGAGTCAGGTGCTTAACCTACTGAGTCACGCAGGTGCCCCGCACTTTTGGTTTTAAATCTCTTATCATACACATGATTTTAATCAATCCTCACAATAGCTCTTTGAAGCAGATATTATCGATATCCCCATTTTACAGATGATAAAACAGGTTGAGAGAATATTTGTGATTGCTCAGTCATCAACTAGTAAGTTGGCTGCTCTTCCAGGCTATTTCACATGAAAGGTTGGCTGTTTATTTTCATGTTCTTTGTATTTAAATCAATAATATTTGTAATTTTTTAAAAAGATTTTATTTATTTATTTTGACAGACAGCAAGAGAGGGAACACAAGCAGGGGGAGTGGGAGATGGAGAAGCAGGCTTCCCACCGAGCAGGGAGCCCGATGCGAGGCTCGATCCCTGGGATCATGACCTGAGCCGAAGGCAGACGCTTACCGACTGAGCCACCCAGGCACCCCTGTAATTTTTTTTTTAAGTTTAACAGGTTCAAAAGGGTTTATGAAAAAGCAGATCCCCATTTTCCCTCCCCAGAGGCAATCAGTAATACCAGCTTCTTTGTATCCTCCTAGAGAGTCTTAGAAATAAAAACTATCTAGGTATGCCCTATCTCCTTTGGTCCTAGCACAAATAGTACCGTACGGTGTACATTGCTCGTTTCCTTGCTTTTTTTCACTTAACAGGCTACCTTGAAGACCATTTCCTATCAGTCCATATAGCTTTGTCTCATTTTTACAAATGACTGCGCAGACTTCCACTGTATTCCCATGCTCTTTAAATTAACCCTTTGCTTAATGGACTAAATCTTAAAGGTAAAAAAGAGAAGGTGGCGGGAGCTGAGAAAGCAAGTTCAGAAGCGTGTGAAGTATCTTTCGTGGAAGTTCCGGAGGTAGATGCGGAATATAGTCCAGATGCTACAGTTGCAGCCATAGAGGAGGCTTCAGCCTGTCCCGGGGATACGGAGGCCGCTCCGGCGGAGACCGACGCGGTCAGTGCTGAAGCTGGGCCAGAGGCGACCGCCGCAGCGCTGGGTGCAACCGCACAAGGCAGTGCTGAAATGCCCTCAGAGGCTCAGAATGCAGCTTTGGATGAAACTGTTGCCGGAAATGATGATAAAGGGACAACAGAGAAGGAAAGCTCTGGTGAAAGTGCTGAACGAGAAGAAAAGAATCGCCCCGTTGAATCAGAATCCTCTGCTGGGGTTGATTTACAGGAGGAAGCCAGCGTTGGTTCCGACGCCGCCCTGGCTCAAGGCTAATCTTCCGCTGATGGACACTTGAGCAAAAAAAATGCCATCGAGTGTCTGATAGGTGCTTTTGTAGTTTCAGTCATCGTAGTTTTAGAATAGGCTTCTTAGCTAGAAAACTTGAATGTGCCTTGAAGATTTTTGGTATCTACTGATAGATTTGGGGATTGAGAGACTTGAGATTTTACGTGTCTGAATAGTTTCCTGCTTTCTGAGATCCGAATACGACATTGCAGTAAAAAACTTACCGAGTTCCATCTTTGCGTTTCAGTTTCATATCATAGGAAGTGAGCTATCTCTACAATCTGCATTCACTTTAATTTTGCTATACCTGATTCTTTGTTAATCTAGATTCTTGAGTTTTGATTTGAACTCATTAAAATAAAATTGGAAAATCTTTAGTGCTTCTGTTTTTATTCACTAATATTTACATGTATAAATAATCTATAATATTAAAGATCATGTATAATAAAATATATGTTATAATATCGATTGTAGATTAATATACAGCATCGTGTGAACAATCAAAGAAAACAGTCTATGGACAACTCTGCATATAGCAATGTACATTACATCTCTGTTCTATCTATATCGCATGGGGGACTGTGCCAACATCTTTAATTTCAGTTTATTTCAGTTCAAACAATGTTTAGTGAGAATTTATACTTAGTACCAGGAATCATTCATTCATTCATTCATTCATGTATTCAGCAAATACTAAGTGAGCACCTATAACCTACAAGGCACTGTTTTAAGTGTTGAGGTTTAAAAAAAAAAAAAAGACAAAAATTCCTACCCTTCCCAGCTTATATTCTAGAATATGATCAAAAGAAACAAGCTACATAAGAAAACTATATAGTATGCTAGATACTATATAGGCATTTAAAAAAAAAAGTAGTGAAAGGGAAGGGATTTAGAAGTATTGGTTAGGGGTGAAAGGTGTAATTTTAGTTGGGATGGCCAGAGACAGCCTTCCTAAGAAGATGTCTAGTAAGTAAAAACCTGAAGGATGTACAAGGGACCTAGTCATGAAGACGTGGGGGGATAGGCGAAGAAGAGTCATTCCAGATGAGGGAACTGAGCAGTGCAAAGGATCTGAAACATGAACATCCTATAGAATTTGGGGAATTGTAAGGTGGTCAAGTGGCTAAAGTGGAGTGAAAAGGAGAGAGAGTAGTTGGAGATGATTTCAGAAAGAATGCAATGGTTCTGCAGAGATGGGCTGTATCAGGCAGGGTCTTGTACGATTTGCGCTATTACTTGGAGTAAGTTGGGGTGTTGTAGTGGATGCTTCTGATGCTCTGCCTAGATCCCCTTACCTGGGCCATTTACTCCCAGCTTCTGTGAGTGGTACACACACACACACCCCCATCCTCACCCCAGACAGCTCACAACCAGTGACTGACTGCCACAATGGTACAGAAGGTGGGGCCAAGTCTGTGCGACAACTCATGCTCCGGAGCTCCCTGGGGGGCTCAGGTTGAAGCTGTTTCCAGCCTAGATTACAACTTAGCTTTTCTCTCCTGTCCTATCCTGCTTTCCTCCCTACTATTCTCCCAACAACACCTCTTTAAAGATCACTTGCCCCCAAATCCCTGCTCTGTTTTTAGGGAACTCGACCTAAGATAATTGGTAATGGATGTGGTCCATGAACGCAGACACTAAGAATAGGATTCTGGAATTGTGTCACTCTTCAGTTCAAAGGTAACAAGGACCTCATCACTGGTGGTAGGTGGAAGATTGTTAGTTCCTGGCATTCTGTAGCAATGTGATTGCTGAGATTTTCACCTATGGTAAACTAGGGTGGAATATACAGGCATACCTCAGAGATATTGTGGGTTTGGTTCCAGACCACTGCAATAAAGTGGGTATTGCAATAAAGCAAGTCAAATGGATTTTTTGGTTTTTTAGTGCATATAAAAGTTATGTCTAGGGGCGCCTGGTTGGGTCAGTTGATTAAGAGTCTGACTCTTGATTTCAGCTCAGTGACCTCAGGGTTATGACATCAAGCTGCCTTAGTTGGTAGAGCATGTGACTCTTGATCTCGGAGTAGTGAGTTCAAGCCCCATGCTGGGTGTGAAGCCTACTTAAAAAAATTTTTGTTTGCTTAAAAAAAGAATGCTAATCATCATCCGAGCTTTCAGTAAGTAGTAATCACTGATCACAGATCACCATAACGAATCTAATAATAATGAAAAAGTTTAAAATATTGTGAGAATTACCAGTATGTGACACAGACACACAAAAATGAGCAAATGCTGCTGAAAAAAAGTTGTGGCAGGTGCCTGGGTGGCTCGATGGGTTAGGCATCTACCTTCAGCTCAGGTCATGATCCGAGGGTCCTGGGATTGAGGTCTACATCGAGCTCCCTGCTCAGCAGGGAGTCTGCCTATTCCTCTCCTTCTGCCCCTCCCCCTCCCCCCAGCTCGTGTGCTCACTCTCCCTCTTTCTCCAACAAATAAATAAAATCTTAAAAAGAAAAAAATGGTGGTGATAGACTTGTTCCATGCAGGGTTGCCAACAAACCTTCAGTTTGTGAAAAATGTAATATCCATGAAGCACAATAAAATGAGGTATGCCTTTAGGTGGAAGGTGATATACTGTTGGCTTAATGCCTCTGGAATTTGAGAAGTACAAAGAACCTGAACTATATGGACTTAATCATTGCAGAACAATGTTTAACTCTGAGATAAGGATGGTATCTTGGGTTTGTTCTGAATTTGTCTCAGCGTCAACTCTGCATTAGACTCATAAGCCTAAGGCCTATGGCACAATTAAGGGATGCTGTTTTACCAAACATTCTGTAAGATAAAGCAGAAACACTACTCAGGACCACATTTATGACTTCAACATCCACACAAAAACACATTCTTCACCACTGTTTTGCCTAGGATGGTTTCTGCTGCAAATAACAGAAACCAACTCAAAATGGGTTAAACAACAAAGACAGTTAACTATTACCTAACTAGGTATCCAGAGGTTGAGCTGCTCCAAGGCTGGTTTATTCTGTGGTTCAGTCATCAAGAACCAGGTTGTTTCTATTATTCTACTCTACTATCAAGAACGTTTGGCTTTATCCTTGGTAGGCTTTCCTCATATTCACAGGATGAATCACCTCAATTCTAAATATTTTATTCAGATACAATAATGTCCACCAGAAATCTTTCAAAAAGAAGAATTTTCTCATCTTAAAAAAAAATTTAAATACCTTTTTAACATTTTGTGGAAAATTTCAAACAAAAGTAGTGAGAACAGTATAAGGGAATCTTCACATGCCCTACATCCCAATTACCAATTATCAAGTCTTGGCAAATCCTGTATTTTTAGTTCCACCCACTTATCTTCCACTACCACCGCTGCCTGTATGTAAAATAATAATAATGATAACAATTCTTTATATTACTAATTATCTAGTCAGTGGTCAAATTTCTTCAACTGCCTCAAAAGGGTTTTCCCTCCTCCAGTTTGTTCTTTGTTTTTTAAAAGTCCACAAATTGCAGTTGGTCAATATTTGCTTAAATTCCTTTTTTTAAGATTGTATTTATTATTTATTTATTTTAGAAAGAGAAAGAGCCTGAGTGAGGGTAGTGAGGAGCAGAAAGGGAGGGAGGGGGGAGGGGGAAAGAATCTCTAGCAGACTCCACGCTGAGCCCAGAGTTTGTCACGGGGCTCAATCCCATGACCCTAAGATCATGACCTGAGCCAAAACCAAGTCAGACACTTAACTGACTGAGCCACCCAGGTGCCCCAATATCAAATTGCTTTTTTTTAATTGTATTTATTTATTTGAGAGAGAGAGAGAGAGCAAGAGCAAGGAGGAGTGGCAGAGAGAGAGGGAGAAGCAGACTCCCCCCTGGGCCCGACTCGAGACTTGGGATCATGACCTGAGCTGAAGGCAGCCGCTTAACCAACTGAGCCACCCAGGCGTCCCCAAATTTCTTAATAACAATGTAAACTACTTACTTGGTTCTAAAGTCAAATCTATGGAACAAGATATATGCAGAGAAGTCTACCTTTTTATTTCTTCCGTTCCCCTATAAACTATAAAACTTTGTGGGATTTTTTCCTTCCATATTTTTGGGTAAACTATACACACACACACACACACACACATTTGTTACCCTTCTTTCTTAAACGGTAGTACACTATACATATATTTCTCCACCTTGCTTTTTTTTTCGTTTAACTATGCACCTGGAGATCACTCTATTGTAGTATGTAGAGATAACCCTCATTACTTTTTTTTAAGATTTATTTATTTATTTCAGAGGAGGAAGGGCAGAGGGAGAGAGCATCTCAAACAGACTCCCCACTGAGCACAGAGCCTGACCTGGGGCTCAATCCCATGACCCTGAGATCATGACCTGAGCCGAAACCAAGAGTCAGATGCTTAACCAACTGAGCCACCCAGGTGCCCTTAGTTCTCATTACTTTTTACAGTTGCATGGAGCTACATGTGTGGGTACCATGATTTACTCAGCAGTCTCCTACTGATGGACATTTGAGTTGTTTCTCTTCTTTGCTATCATAAACATTGCTGCAATGAATAGCTTTCTGCAAAATGTCTTTTTGCATTTTTGCCAGTGTTTCACTAGGATAGATTTCTGAAAGAGGGATTGCTAGATCTAATACATAAGTAATTTTGCTATCTATTGCAAAAGTCCTTCCATAGGAGTCATACTATTTTGTATTCCCAAAATAACCAATGGATATGAGTGCCTGTTTCCAGTCAGAGTATATTGTCAAACATTTGGATTTTTGATAGGTATGATAGATGAAAAATTATATTTCAGTGTGGTTTTTAATTTGCGTTTTCTTTATTAAGAGTGAGGTTGAACATTTTTTCATTTGGTTAAGGGCTATGTACCTTTCTTTTTCTGCAAAGTTTCTGTTCATATCTCCAATGCTTTTTTTTTAAATTTTTTCTCGGGGGGCAGAGAGCGAGGGAGAGAGAGAATCTTAAGCAGGATCCACACCCAGTGCAGAACCCAACTCGGGGCTCCATCTCACGA